TAGCAATATATGTTAGTATAGTTAATGCAAATTATTGTTCAATTTTAACCTATCATTCAAAATTATTTGCATATAACTATGTGAAATCCTTTGTTTTCTWTTCTCTAATCTACACTATTTCCAGTCAACTCTCGCCTTATGGACACCCCGCTATTGCAGACACCTCAATATTACAGTCGCGAAATAAAGAATCCCCGTCAAAAAATGAAAAAAAAAACAAACAAAAACAAAAACAAAAAATACAACGAAATGACTGAAAATAACTCCCATTATTATGGACTCTCGCTACTGTAAACTAAATTACAGTGCAGAAGGTGTCCGTAATCAGGTAATAGCGAGAGTTGACTGTAGTGCTATCTTGCACTAATTGGTTAGTACCTTTTCATGCTTTTAATGCTTGCACTCTAAAATCAATAGTATAATAATTTTATCCAAACTGTAGATTAAAATGTGATTCAGGTAACACAATTTTGAGCCTTCATATTCAGAAAATTGTCTCTTTTCTGGTACCCCGACCAAGTAATTTCARTACAATAGAGTACAGTGGAACCCTGCCTTAGGGCTACTTGACTAATATAGCCACTTCATAATATTAGCCAGGGATTGGTTATACAAAGAGTGGATAAAGTTATCCACCATTTAAACTTATCMACTCCTTATTTTGTAAGGATTTTATCTGCTGAATAAGGATTTGTCCAATATGGATAGCGGTCTTCACCCTTCKTACAACAAGAAGAAGGTTTTTATGTTCAGGTGAATTAAAGGCCAACATTCAACCAAGAATCTTTGCGTTCGTTTCTTTKCTTTTACAAGTGATCTCTTSTTTAAAGGTGTTTTCTGATCAAAATTAAAGATGTTGAATTTTYGTATGTGAGAAATTCGTGCAAAATGTGGGCCTTTAAACAYTGAATTCTTTTCTGCCCAGTTAATGCGACCACTTTTCAATGTCCCWTTTTAAAATGGYCRGATCAACAGGGTTCCACTATATTGAACTATTTATTAAAAATCTAGGAAAAATTACTTATATATTCATAAAGATWTCTGACCCTTGTTGATCTTTTTCTTTCCAGCAGTGGGTTGAATGCTTGTTCAAAATGTTCTGAATTCCATATTCAGTTTTTTAAAATAAATTGTTATAAATTGTCTTAAAGAATGCTATTCATCTACTATGATTTCCTCCGGCTCGTCATCCACTGAAACATAATCTTCTTCATTTATTTCTTCATCTGGGGTCGATCCTTCCTCCTCTTTCTTTTCATCCTCCTTTGCCTTGGGTTCMTCTTTTTTCTGTTTGGGTTCTTTCTCTTTCTCGGCACCTTTCTTAGCTTTCTCTTCTTTTTCTTTTGTTTCTTTCTCTTTGTCATTTCCTTTCTCAGGTTGTTCAGCTTCGATTGGAGTGACTCGGAACACTTCAAGGATAATCGGCCTGACAAACCTTCTTTGCTTCTCGAGTCCAGACTTCAGTTGTTTGAGGTCATTTGGTAAATTCACAACTTTYCCAGTCAAGATCATATCATTCTTGTCCTTTAGTGCCTGGTCAAGCTTTTTCACTTTTAGTGGAATACGAGCAATGAGGTTCAAAGCATGGTACTTCCCTTTTACTTTTCGCCACGACGGAAGCAGCAACAGCTTAGCAACTTTGACAACTTTCCCTCCAGTGCGCACWGATGTTGTRAGGTTRAGATCAAGKATCTGTCGGTACTGGACCCTTACTGCAACCCTTGGTGTGAATAAAGCCAGTTGATAAGCTGAAGGTATTTTGGAAGGTTTTAAGCATTTTTCAACACAACTCTCTCTCAAGAAAGTATCTGCATTAACTTGAAGGCTATGCTTGGTACCAAGATCTTCATTCTTAAGATACACAGGCGAGCATAGATATACTTGTATCGAGGGGAAGATAAGCACTGCAAAGGCTACAGGAAGAACTCCTTTCAACATGAAAGTACGTAGTTTCTTYGAGTAAATAGCTATAACAATTGGTAATACAATTGGTGCGGAGATTACAGCTCCGTTTGCAATGCTGCCAAAGACGCCACCAACATTATTAACCACGTCTCCAGCCACGCTAACGATCCATGCAAGCGAAGGRAACATGAATATAAACAAGAAGAAATAATATTTGTAGTTGGTTTCGCTGCTAGTTGCTTCGTTGGACTGCTTCTCGGCATTTTTGTTTTCTTTGCTCTTCTTTCCCATTTTCCACGTAGATTTTTGTAATCTTTTGACGAATGAAGCGTGCAAATACTCTACTTTTGAGTTTATCTTGCTGATAAAACTTTTTTGTTTAAAATCTTTATTCTTAAAAAGAAATATAACATCTGTTGCTACAGCCTTATGTTAACGTGGCATACAATTTATATATTTTAGGGAGGGGAGGGTAAAATGCCACATGAAAAAAAATTCAGAATACTAAAATACAGTCACAAAAATGAACTATTCAAGCTATATTATCAACTTTAACTGTTTTTTATTTTTTCTAATCTGTAATGAATTTAGAAATAGCAATTTTATCTGAAAAATTTAATTTTTTTTTCATCTAACTGACTAGCCCCTCCCCCTTGATACAAAACAAAACATTCCATCCGTGGTGCACTGAGGCTGGTAATCGATAATCGAGTGCTTATCGATTATTGATTTTAAAATATAAGAAAGGCCTCAAATTACTACGTGTAAAGCCTAAAAATCATTACAAATTGTATTTTGTTTTATATCTTTTTTGCTTTTACGATAATATACTAAATATTTGTTTGGTTTTTGATATTTTTTGCTACTTTTGAAAATCGTAAAATTGGGGTTCCTGTGGTAACGAACGAAAAAAGGCGCGAAGTTCGATTCAAGATGGCGCTCGCTGAATCGACAATAGAAGTTTGCAACCTTTTAAACCTGGGAAATATACCCATAGACTGGACACAAADAGTATGGAATGATGATTTCTACGAGTATCATGGTTTACCTGAGCYATTCGAAGAAAATGCGTCCGAAAAGCAGTATTTTAAAGCGGAACTAGAGAAGCTGTTGTTAGTTTGTCGAAGATGGGTGAAGTCTACAGAAGAAACTTCTACAGAAGGTGATTTAATAAAATTTTGCTTGCTTGAAAATTGTTTTATCTAATATTAAATGTTCAATGTATTTGTCAGGGTTTTGGAAGATTCTCTCTGATAATGATGTTCCCCTTCGTTCGTTGATCGCCTTTCTGCATGCGATGATTGAATCTTGCAAAAGGCATTCTCGACCAGGACCTAAGTTAGAAAGTGCTGTTATATCAGCGAATGTGTACATACTGCTGGTTCAAATTCCAGGTAAAACTGTCTCAAATACATGTATGGGCTCTCTTTGTTTTGTTTTTGTTTTTTGCTTTTATTGTCGTTGTTGTTGTTGTTGTTGTTGTCTTAATAAAATCGCCTTCAATCTCTCTAACCAACCAAGAGAGGAATATTGTCAACTGGTGATTTCTAATCAATTGATCGATCAATCAATATTAATCGATGAAATTAGCTGATAAACATCAATTTCACTCTAATAGTCCACTTCGCAGAYAACACAGCTATTAGAAATTGAGCAAATATYGRAAAACTATTACCACCACTGGAAAGAACAGTATRAAATTAGTATGTTTACCAGGTTTGAGCATGATTCGATGAAAATTCAAGGAGATACAGCGTTTAAAATTCGGCAAAATTTACAAAGAAATGTATGGCCTGTCAGCATGAGATCGAGGTTGACCTTGACTTGTTACAACCTAGCTAAACATTTCTATGCAAAATTTAGTGTTTTTGAAGTGACATATCTCTTTGAATTTAAATCAGATTATTTTCAAACTTGGCATATTTGCTGATTTTATGGAGCTCTTTCCAGTGATGTCAATGATTTACCATAACAACGTAATGTAAAGTTTCGAATTATCCGCGAAATGATGTATTCTCTTAAGCTATATCTCCAAACGTCATGAGTCGAAGATTAAAATATGATTTTTATTGTACTACAACGTTCTTTAGTTGAAACATTTATTGAGTCACTTACTAATACAATGAATGAAAAATACAAATCGAAAATTTTTTTCAGAATGTTGTTAGTTTCATTCAATATTTTTGACACAAGTTTGGCAAAAATAGGCGTCATGTACACTTTAACTATTAGATACATGCCAATATATATGTGTGTTTGCATGGATAGGGTGTGTACATCGCCTGGTTTCCTATACATGATAACATTCTAACCACTAACCACGAGTATCCTAAAGTTAACATGTACGTGATACATAGAGCAGATTTCGTATGAGTGGGACACCGTTACCGCACGGTTACCGCACAGTTACCRSACYTGGCCTRCAKAATTTTGGTGAAMCARTGGGGAACTAGAATTTGGTTACAGTACGATTACGGTCACCGTACAGTACCGTCCGTTTCCCACTCATACGAAATCCGCTCTAAAGATATAACTAAGATGTTTATACACTACAATGATGAAGACAACAGACTCAGTTTTGGGCACAAAGAGAGGTTTATTAAGTGACAACAAGAAAGTACACTCTACCCGGTCAAAAACCGCTGACAGATAAACCTCTCTAGCCACCAAACAGCACCCAAAACTGAGACCTTTGTCTGCCTTAGTTAAGTAACAGTAACACTCTCCAAAGAGGCAATAAAAATAAAAGCTGAAATTGTAAAAAAAAACTACAAAAATTTCCTGTTTTATCTTTTTTTATCATATAATAATTATCTATGAAATACCTAAATTTCTCCATTGCGTAAAAATCACTGGTGAAAATAACCAACAACTACCCCTTAAAACAAGTACTAACCTTATTTGCCGAACTTTCAAAAAATAAGGTTCGCATTTTCAGGTGTTTACTGTATTCAAGTTATTTTAAAACAAAACTTTTTCTCATAATACAACTATAATTATATGATAAACAGAATATTACATGGTCGCTTGGAGATATGAATTTTATCTTTGTGTGTTGAAAATCTCTCACTTCACTACCTTCGCTTGTCAGAGATCTTTTCAACACTTGAAGATAAAATCTGTATCTCCAAGCGCCCATGTAATATCCTCTACATGTATGTGCGTAATGGTTTATTTCATCACAAATCATTTTTTTAAATTTATAGGAAGTGGTGCCTTTAATGTCTACCACCACCTCCTGCTTCAGAAGGCTGTTGACATTTTGAAGCATTGGCCTCGTAAAGGTAATACACATATCATTTTTTACCTCATGAGCTACGTTATTCAGACACATCCAGATTGCCGTCTATATTTTGAGCACCGGAAGAACTGTTTAAAGTATAACCCAGAGGTCACCTCATGATGGAAAAGGAAATAATCTAAAGTGTTCAGGTCAGGTAAACTACAAGAGTAGCTGGCCTTTGAAACCTCATTTTAGTGCTTCGCCCCCAGTGCCCTGGTCAGCGACCATGATACATGTATATATCTTGCCATTCTTTTTAACAAAAGACCATCAAGAACAGTTTTTCTCGACATTTTTTCGACTATTTTTGCTTAATTTGAGGTGACCATGGTATACATTGTATATCAAAATATACCATAGTTTATTAGCAAATCAGAATGCTGTATTTTTAATAGCCTATAGTTTGGTGGATACTAGCACTTTATAGCGGAGCTCCCGCGCGGGCCAATGGCCCGCGCGAGCGGAGCACCATAGCTAAGAAAAAATGGTATACCACCGAGTCGATTTTCCATGGACCGCGCGTACGCATGTTTCCTTCCGTCAGTCCTTCCGTCCTTCCTGGATTCTGTATTCCGCTTGAAAAGGAAACAAAGCGCCAAGTATTTGTTGAAAAATCGAAATTTTTTCCTTAAACATTTATATTACATATTGATAATATTAGAACAATTTATCACAAGGCAAAAATCCACT